GGGGGCATGCGTGTTTTGTTGAGTGTTCTCTTTACAGCGCAACATGTGCTGCTGGCATAAATGAATATTATGTAAGGACGTTTCTAAATCTTTGTTGAAGCTTACGTCACAGGTGGTTATTGTGGATCTGCTTTCTAGCCAACCTACAAGGAGTTTACAGTAAGCTCCTTGCCAACCTATCAACTCACCTTCCCTCTTACCCACATAGCATACGCCTACCCCGACCTCCACGTCTCCGTATGTGTCTGCACGACAATCGCCTGCGTACGTGACAAGCGGAGAATGGGTGAGCTAAACTTACGCTCTGCGCAAAATGAATTTGGAGTACAGAAACAGCCGGCGGGGAAAACAGTTTTCAGCTCACCGTAGTAAACATGCCCCCCCCCTCCCCCCACCTACCTGTTCCCGGTGCAGACGGTTTGGTTCCCCTCTTGCTTGGTCAGCAGTTCAGGTCGACTGACCGGTCAGCTGTATGTTACGTCAGTGTTTCTGTCTGGGTCCTGGCTGAGCCCTCTGTCTGGGCCAGCGGCGGGAGCCTGGTCAGTCAAAGGAGACTTGGTTGTGGGGTAACGTTATGTCAAGGGTTAGAACAACACTGCAGTAGTACTCTGACAAAACGCCTTTTACTTGCTCACCGCAATTTTGAGAAATCAGCGATTTTCGGTTGTCTTATAATAGATCTATCTGTTGAGCACAGGGAATGACATTTCTCTTCAAGGTGCGAGACCAACCGAGATGTACTGTGCAAAATAGTTTAAATATTATAAGAAAAACGAAAAAAGCTGATTTCTCGAAACTGCTGTGAATAAGAAAAAGGCGTTTTGTCAACGTACGGCAGAACAGAGGCACAGCAGAGCTTTTGTGCCACGTGCTGGTGGAAAGGAAAAGAAAGTGAATGTGTGTACATAATCTCATTTTGTATGGATGGGTATGGTGTCGTATAAATGATATTATTATCATAACAGGAGGGATTGGTTCATGTGTGAATATCATGTCTTGTGAGCGTGCATGCCGGTTGTAGTCTTCTCTCTCCCACAATTCGACTTCCTTTCCTAGTAATATGTCCTTCCTCTGCTTTTCTATGCTCATCATTTAAACCTGTGTGGTGCAATGTTATGTTGGGTAAAAGTAAACTTTAGCCCTCCATTTGACAAGGAAGTCAGCTGACCCAAGACCACCCAGTCCAGCACCAATGGGAGGGGGCGTCTGAGGTGGATGACTTTATGTTTGTGACTTTATCCACCTGACCTTTCGATGTTCAACGTGGTAAAATTATTGTATGTATTCAGGAGACTTTCTTCACATCGTGACAATTTTCCCCCCCATTCATTCACCAACTCACCTGCTCCGTTGTTGTTCTCACCCCACCCCCTCCCCCAACCTTCCCCAGAGTTCGACGGGGAGACAGTCCTGTGTCGTGTCTGTGGGGACCGAGCCAGTGGCTTCCACTACGGCGTGCATGCATGTGAGGGATGTAAGGTAAGTCAGGGGATCATGTCTTTTGGCTAAGATCAAAGTTTATCTTTGTATGCCTATCTGTTCCCGACTTTTCTCCGGCCTTGTGCCCGCCCGATACGTGGGGCGGATACAACAGAAGCTGATGAGGCACCCAGAAATCCATTGTCTAGTGGAAGGATTACTGTCCTCTTTAAAAAAAAAAAAAGTCAGTGGATGTCGTGTCTCTACAGTCTACACGAACTCTACACAACACGATCTGGGTGGTTGGTGGGCGTTCTGGTCTTATCAGCTCCTTTTTGTTCCTTTCGAACTCCAACATGACATAAAAATATTTTTATATCCTCTGAAATCTCTCCTCCTCTTCTTTGTATGTTACTCTCTAGTAACAGAGTTCTAATCTTTGGCACTTAAAAATGACGTTGTGTTGCTAGTGCCTTAAAACTTATTTTAAAACTTAAACTAAATTTTACATGACTGCTTCATCTCACATTGTATGCAACCGCATGTACTCAGTCTAATCCCTTCCCCTGGCCAAGATCATGCAGCAAACCCTATAACTGAACAAAGCGAGCCATAAAAAATAAAAATAGCAGGACAAGGACCCCCCCTCCCTCACATTTAGAGTCACCTTCCTCTCTCTCCCTCCTCCCTCCCCACAACCTGAACAACCACCCAGATCCCTTTGAAGTCAGAAAACTATGCACCCATTTAACCTCCTGCTCATGACATTTAAAGCTGTCTTTTGACTCCTCTTTTATTGAGATATATTTTATTATATTTATTTGTGAGCATACCCCACTTATCTGGCTGGGTCACAAGTCAAAGATTTTTTTTTCTTTCCCTCATGCCTCTCTAAAAGTCAAAACAGAAAAATAACTAAAGGGGGTGCACTGCAATTAAGGAGAGACCTTTTTAGTGTAGATTTTTTCTATAGTTGAAAATTGGTTGGGGGGGGGGGGATCATGTTTGTGTTCAATTGTTCTTCTGCTGTTGTTTTTTCCCCTCCGTTCTTGGCAGGTGCTTTCTTTTGAGTCCAATGGGGACTTATTCAAGAATAAAAAAGAAATAATCAATGATTCATAATGCTTACTTATTTTTATCTCTGCACAGGCATTAGAGATAAAGAGACTTAGCTAAGTTATTTCTTCACAATATTTATAATGTTATGTATACTAAAAGCTCTGGTGGTCAGCCTTTAGAGTGGATCTTTTCTGAATGGAGAAGTTTGTGCCTTCAAGGGATTGATTGTTTATCCATGGAGGTCAACATGATCTACCACAATTTCATATAGGTGGCCTTCATTTGCTTTTAAATATATCGTGTCACAGTGACACAACAGGTCAATGACCACATTTAAACTTTCATTTAAGTTAATGTTGTTAATAGTAGCCTATTAATATTATGACTTTTTGAAGTGCCTTACTTACCCTACTAAGGATTTTTAGATTTTATTTTGCTGTTGTCACTATGAAACTTTCTTTCTTTTTTTCATTTTTTTTTGTTGGTCTTGCAATAAAAGGCAAATTGTGTAAGATTAATTACTTTATGTGCACCGCTTCCCTTCCTCTTTACTATTTTAGAAAGTCTTTCCATCTTGGAGTCTTTTCCATTTGTCTCTTTACCCCCCACCCCCACCCCCACCCCCTGCCCTCAAATCATTTCCCTTATTTCCTTTCTTGTTGTTAACACTCCTATTTTCTCATCTTCCCTTCCACCTGTCTGTTACAAAAACCTCTGATCCCTGTGCTGCCATTGCTTGCCCTCCTGGTGGTTGCTGTTCTATCTCCTGCAATGTACCTGTCAGATGTTCACCTGAAATTCTTTAAAATTTAAATAATCTCAACAGTGTGGATTCTACATTAATTGAGGTTTGTTTTTGTTCACTCTCAATCACTTTCAACGCTCACATTTTTCATGGCCTAACATTTCACTCAATATTTTATTCTTCTTGTAGGGTTTCTTCCGTCGTTCCATCCAGCAAAAGATTCAGTACAGGCCTTGCCTTAAGAATCAACAATGCAACATACAGAGAGTCAACCGAAACAGATGTCAGTATTGTCGGTAAGGTTCACACATCATCATCACCTTTTTCCATTGGGAGTCAGACTCATGGTGCTAAATATAAGAACCTCACTTGTGCAAGAATTCGTGACTGAACTAAATCTTGAAATGAATACAGGTGTTACCTTATGCTACTTAATTTAGCTGGTCTGTCATGTATTTTCTTCAAAAATGTGTATTATTAGAACGTTTCTGTCCCTTAAATGACGTTTGTTTTGTTCATGCATTTATACAATATTTATAAACTTCGAACAATTCAAGTGCAAATATCCTTAGCTCTAAATGATTGATTGTTTGTTTAAATTTGTCTCGCAGTGTATAGAAGCGTGCACTAACTGTATGTGCTTTTACCAATGTGTGTTGTTAAAAAAAAAATGCAGTCCAAAGTTTTGGTATTGTTGCGGGTGGCTCAGTATCTTTTTGGTTTTTATCCTCAGTCTCAAAAAGTGCATATCTGTCGGCATGTCACGAGATGGTAAGTTGACTACTTTTTACCTGACTTGTTTCCACGTACATGTTCACACACGTACACAATTACACACACAAATATGTACACGTTCACACACATACACAATTACTCACACAAATATGTACATGTTCACACACGTACACAATTACTCACACAAATATGTACATGTTCACACACATACACAATTACACACACAAATATGTACATGTTCACACACGTACACAATTACACACACAAATATGTACATGTTCACACACCTGCACGAGTTCACATGTAAGTATATACGTGTTCACACACACACTCATTCATACCTCATATTCAGAAACAAATATTATGTATGCATATCATTATAATTCTTATGTTGTTTGTGTTGTTTATGCTCACATAAGTATACCTAGGTACACTATGTTTCCATCAGTTTGCCATTGTGTTTATTTGCTTATAGGTCCTCTTTTAGCCGTAATAGGTTTGCTCTTCGGTTTACTGTGTGAGCTTTGGTTTGAATAAATCTCTTTCCATAATGTAGATAGAAAAGGGTGCTGGTATGATGAAGCAATTGGACATTTCCTTTTAGAAAAAAAAAGAAACTTCTCTTGGTTTTTTTATTTACTCTACTGTATGTCAATTATTTGGTTTTGTGTGTGTGATGAGTCATTACATGACTTTAAAGGAATTATATGGCTTGTCTTTTTCAGCTGTGCGCTTTGGTCGGGTGCCAAAGAAAGAAAAGGCGAGAATCTTTGAACAGATGCAGAAGAAAAACCTTGCATCTCAGACAAGTGAGCTCAACAGTCTGCTGGCCAATGACCTTGATGTCGTTCATGCAGTGGTGACGTCGCACAGACACACTTGTGATATCACGCAATTCCGCGCTCATCAGATGCGGGATCTGGCCATGCACAACCAGGAGTATGTCACTTGCCCGGCAAATATGGTGAGTGCAGTTATAAATAATGATAGCAATAAAACCATGCTTCCTGACTCACTGTGTTATCATTCATGTTGGCTCAGCGGAGTGTTGATAAGAGTCAGATTTGCATTCAGAGACACTTTTTCCTTCTCTCATTATGTTGAGATAAGCTTAAGTTCAAATGTTTATGCATTTGTTAAAATCCAACAAATGAAGCTGACATATAAAATATAAATCAACCACCTTGACATGCAGAAGAACAGCATAAGAGCCTAATCTGGATAAGCCAGAACAATGTACAGGCGACATCAGTTATCAAAACAATGAATGATTTTGATTGTAGAAATCAACGGAAGTGATCAAATATGTTGTGTGCAGACAGTCAAATCACAAACCCTTTTTTACATGTGTAGAAGAAGCTCCCATTTCCAAACAGAACTACTTCGTTATGTGTAGTTGACCGTTTTCAAGAGAAATAAACGGAGGAAAACTTTTATTATTCCAGGCATGTCCGCTGAACAATGAAATTGGGATGGACACCAATGCCAACCGGCACGACTTGACGGACTTTTCAGAGAGCTTCACACCAGCCATCAAGTCTGTGGTGGACTTTGCCAAGGGCATCCCTGGTTTCATCCTTCTCAACCAGGATGACCAGGTCACCTTGCTCAAGGTTGGCAGTTTTCATCATTCTTCTTGTATTGTCAAATCTGAGTAGTGTGTGTTGTAAGTAGAGACTCATTTCTGTTACTAAAGTTACTTTTTTTAAAAATTCATTAGCTCAGGAGCTCTATCCCAAAGCCAAAGACTATTGTTATATAATTTTTTTTCTTTGGAGATCTAATATTACATAATTTATTAAATAGTAGTAGTTTTTTATAAGTTCACAAATAGAGGTAAAATTGTTTCTGGAGATTTAAAGTACTTGTACGGGTTTATGTAGTGACATGTTTTTAATGGTAAACGTCCTTGTTATATTTTGTCATTTAGATATATGGAAATTTAGATTTGAATGTTTTTGTTCCCCAGGCCGGTACATTTGAGGTGCTCTTAGTGCGTCTGGCTTGTCTGTTTGACCCGACGTCCAACACCATGATGTTCACGGGGGGCAAGTTGTACAAGAGACAGCCCTCCACCGTAAGTTGTCTGTTCTGGTTGGGTTGTGTGTTTGTCCTGTGCTGCACACACATGAATTGTCCCATGTATACATACACTGTATAGACTTTCACCATCTCATGTATGGAATTGTGATGAAGGATGCAAGCTCAAAATAAATAATAAGAGCTGCTACAAGAACAAACATTCCGATATTTAGTCTGAAATATAGTAACTGGTGAGAGGAAGAGAAATGATTGGTACATGAGGCAGATCTGATAGTACAGTATATAGTTGCTGACAAGGTCTTGTTCCTACTGATACTGTCGACCACACCGCCCCTTCCCCCCCCCCCCCCCCAACCACTGAATCGCATACACATTCTTATATTGGTGAATAATATGAATAGGTTCATGTTATTTTATGACTTAAGTGTCTACTGTTGTAAATTTGCAGCTTTAAAAGTTCCTTCAAGAACATGAAAGCCACTGGACTTTTTAAAACATGTACCCATTCTTCCTTGGTATTATTTGAGTACTTTTGTCTTGTTCTTGTCTTACTCTGTTTAGTTATGTCTTTGTTGTAAAAAGCAGAGATTTATTCATGTTTTTGTCTGCTTGCCAGATGACGACCAATGCAGGTTTCCTGCTGGATTCTATGTTTGACTTTGCTGAACGCTTCAACAAGTTGTGTCTTATTGATGACGAAATTGCTCTCTTCTCAGCTGTAGTTCTCATGTCTCCAGGTAAGCAGGGTCTACTCCATGCTGTTTTCACTGTTAAGCTTGTTGATTGTAAAGACTGCATAGGTTTCATGACCCCAAGTTAGATCGTTCAGGATGCAAATTCGGTTTTGCCAACCGGGGCTGATTGGGGTACAGCTTGTCAGGAAGTGGACAGAGATACTTTGTAGAATAATTTGCCCACATGGGAATCAAACTCAATGTGCTGCTTGAAGTGGTGAAGAGCCTAGCCTATAAACCACAGATGCTGGTAGGCCTACTGTTTCAGTTTCAGTATTAGTTGAACAGAACTTTCTGCTAATGCATTCACTTAAAAAAATTAAAATAATACATTGATCGATTCATGAGAAGTTTTAAGAACTTTTTTCTTTTCTGCTGAAGATTTAACAAATCACCACTGTGTTTGTGGCGTGGTTTTCTAAATAAAGTCTGTGAATGTCAGAACAAAGTGACTGTATATATATATATATATATCTTCCACTTTTCCTCCGTTCCTCAGATCGGCCTGGCCTGCGTAATGTCGAGCAAGTGGAGAGAATCCAGATCAAATTGTCGGAGGCGCTGCAGAACATTATCAACATGAACCACAAGGAGGATGGCACGCTCTTTGCAAAACTGCTCATGAAGACCACAGACCTGCGCACCCTGAACACACTGCACTCTGAGAAATCCATTGGTGAGTAATGCAGACTGAGCTCGCTTGTGTAACTTTTTTTTGGTGTTGTTTCTCTTTATAATCCACTGCTTGTGGGTTTTTTATCCGTTCTGTTTGGTGCTATATTTTGTAATAAGTGCTTGTGTGTCTCAGTTGCTTTGTTGGTCTGCAAAGGAAATAGGAAATGATCAGTGGTCTTAGGTCTTCTGTGTAAAGGATGGCTTTGTGCACATAACAGATTGCAACACTATTGTTTCCAACTGGGGACTGATGCGGTAAAATAGAAAAGAAACTGAAGTGTTTATTTAATATGGTGTCTTTCTTTCTATGTTATAGCTATTTTGAAAGAGTTTTAGTCTTTGAACAGTTGGAGAGTGTTTCGGATAAACCCTTTTCTATTTTATCCCTTGGTTGTGTCGCAAGCTGTCACAATCCTTTGTATAGATATCCTGGTCTTTAACTGTCTTACAAGTTCCAGCCTGTTTTCATACTGTCTGTCTAGAGGTGGAGGAAGGGTGTGGGGAGGAGGGAGAGGTGGCTTGATGATTGTTTGGTTGTTTTAATGTACAGCTAAATTTGTTTGAAGGAGGGGGGCTATGGTATTGCTGAACTGCTGGGTGTTATATTTATAGGTTTTGTTGAACAGATCTGCCCTTTGGTTTACTGGAAACACTTCTCCGAAATGACCTTTTTCAGCGAGGTGATCCTCTGTCTTTCTACGTAGAATTCTCATTTTATATTTAGTTGGTTAACACGTGGTCACCTTGTTTAATTTGGTATTTTTATTATAGCCCTTTGAATGTCAGTGGGAGGTAATGTGGCCTTTGATAATAAACTAAAGGCCAGAAGTACAAGGGCCATGTGGTTAAAACTAGAAATACACAGTTTTGAACTTGGTGAGTTCAGTGTGACACTGACTTTTAGCATCCTGAAAACAACTTCTGCTTTCAGATTCATAGAAGCTTATTTTTGCCTGCGGAGTATCTCTCTTTTTGCCCTTCACCTTTGCAGTCCTCCTACCATCTCTTGCCTCTGGTTGGATGTATTTCCTCACTCTCAGCAGCAGACCTGAAACCCAGTGTTGACATTTAGAAATGTCATTGATTTCTGAAACCCATACACCTTTGAACTTTCTGGAACCCATCCCAGTTTTTTTTTGTCTTTTTTTTTTTTTTTAAATACATTCTCCTCTCCTCCCACACTGCTAAAATCGTCCTTCTGACTTACACTGTCTCAAGACCAGCAACGCTAATCTAGGATCAATAAGTTGCACTAGGACTTGCAGCAAGACAGAAATAGATTTGTAAGTTTAATGGGCCAAAGTGTTTTCTTTTCATTTGTATTGATTAAAGTAGTGGAGAGAGAACCTGGCTTCAATTTGTCTTTGTTTTGTTGACTTGTGAGGAAGGAGTGGATTATATTTGCATGTATGTAGCACTGAATCCTTCTTGTTTGTGTATTGCACTAACCACAAATGTGGTAAAACTTCAGTGTATGCCTTATTTATTTATATTTATTTTGAGTTTGGTGTAGGATAGAGGGGGGCTATGCAGAGTTTTTGCATCTAAGCTCAGAAATTTTAGACAGGCATCTATTTTTCAAACTGAAATTGTTTAACAAACATCTATAATGTATTTTAAGAGAGGGAAGTATTTGGATATGTCATTGCTCAATCCGATAGAAAGGGATGTAAAAAAATATGGTGCAAAATTACTCAAATTGATGTAATAGACAAGATAAACGTTTGGATGATAAGGTAATCATTCCAATAAACATGTAATTTTCTGATGTGGTCGGTAGCCATAGTTTTTATGCACTCCTAAGGATTTCAGTCATTCAGCATTCCCAAATATACTTAAAGTGATTTTCCTCGTGGTTTTCCTCCCACTCGAATAGTCTGCTCTCTGCAAAAAGTCTTCTGCAGCTCAGGGTGGCCTGGTTTTTAGAATTTTGTGTCTGTATTTGTTTGGGTTTTTGAATTTTTTTCTGTGGTTGTGCAGTACCTCAGTCATCTCAGGTCTATTCTTTTGATATGTGGGGCAAGGCGGGGTGAGGGAAACTCCCACACCATGGCCTACTTTAATGTTGCAGTCTGCAAACAGTGAGAAATTTGCCCTACTCTCCTCCAGGCTGCTACTGCTCTCTTTGGTGGATGGAGGACATACAGAGAAGGGGGCTGGGGTTGGGGGGGGGGGAGAAGTTAGTTCTGGTGATGATTATTTTCAGCCTCTTCGTCCGGTGTTTCATTCTTTAGCTCTTGGGGACTAGTTGTTTGGCTTCTCTTTGGTTGAAGGGAAAAAGTCTTAACTATGGAAATAAAAGTTGTAGGGAAAATTAGATTATGATTGCAGTTTGGGTTTTTTTGTAGTTGTTTGTTTGTTTTTTTACTTTAATCTTCTGCCTCTCATTTTGGTTCAGGGTCATTCGAAAGAAAATCAAAGGAAAATAAGTTATTTTTGAATAACATTCTTTGTCTTGATTTTTGAAGGTGAAGTAAAATATTGTTCTTTATAATAACTGAAGCAAAGATTTCACTTATCTGGTCGTCTATCACCTTTTTTACTTATCCTCACACTTTATTCCGAGGAAGCATCAAAGATTTTTAGGACGTAATTATACACTGTTGCCACACACTAGGGAAGATTGACACCTCCTTAGTTTCAGTAATCATTATGTATTCCATATTTATCCAGCCACAAAGAAAGAAAAATCTTAGAAAAATTTCAGCTCGTGTGCATTTTGTGTAAATGTCAAATCAATCAGCAGAAGAGAAGAGCTTCTAGCAGGGGTTGGTGTTTTGTCTGTGCGTATGGCTCAGCATATGTCGCAAGTTATGACAGGCTTTCAGATATGTAATAAGAGGGAGGTTCAGTCTTATGGTAACTGAGTGTCTTTTTCAGAGTGGGAACTGTTCTCAGGTTAGAAATGAAAGGAAATGAAAGCTTAATGGATCTTGGTATGGAAATATGAATGGCAATGACTTGCAAAGCAGTGGGTATTTAACCTAAAAACAAATTTGAATAATTCTTCGTCGCTGCAGTTATGTGGTGCAATAAGTTTAAGAGTCAACTTTGACTCATTCAAAAGGGCATGATCGGCTCTCATGACCACCCCGTGGTACAACTAACATTGTGTGATATTTTTTCAACCTGCGTGCAGTGTCATCTCTTCCAGTGCTCTCCCTCCAGAGGGGAAGGGGAAACTGGGATGGGTACTTTTTATTTCCAAGAGTGTGAAGAGGGGAGGGGGAGGGGATGACATTTGAGGAGGTGGGAGAACTTGGTCACTGGGTCACACAATGTGGGTCAACAGGGTGTAATAGTTTGCTGGGTAATTTGCATACTATGGCATAAATACACATATTAAAGGGGATTGTCTTGCCTATTCCTTTACTGGAAAGATATTTGGGGAAAGTTTTTGCCACTTTTGGAAGATTTTATTTTCCTCAAATGAAGACGGGGGGGGGGGGGGGGGGGTCAAGGTTAGGGATTTTATGGGGGGGGGGGGGGAATGTGTTTCTTTTTAAACCTCTTTTGAACAGAGTGGCAGGTTCTCTTATTATAACTGCCTGTTTTCACGTTTGCTTTCTTTGATTACAGTCTTTGTCTTTTAATTGCCCCGTCTGAATGTTTTGACGCTTTTTATACTTTCTAATTGAAGTTGAATTGTTTTTAACCTTGTATTGTATTTTTGTTCCCTGCTGATATTATAGACGCGTGTTGTCTTATCTGTATTATGCTGCAAGAGAAATGTAAAGAATTTAAGCAGACAAAGTAGAGAGAATATAACATGCCCTCATGTCTGATGTTTTTTGTATTTTCTTTTATGTCCAGCGGGCCAGAGATCCAATCATGAGAAACGCGAACGACAGAACACAGATGACTCAGATATGGACTTCCAGGAGTCCCTCAGCACCAGGTATAGGGAATAGTTGTTTCTTCCGTGTGGTGCTTTTTTTGTTGTTGTAACTTCTTACTTCTCAGTGATTGTAGTTAGTGGTTATGGTTGTCTTTTCCTTTACTTGGCAGGGGGGGGGAATCAGTTTCTAGTCCATTAGTTTGAGGTCAAAAGTTGCAGCAAATGTCAATCAATACATGGTGCTAATTAGGTGCAAGAAAGCATGGTATATCAAAATTATAAATACTCAGCTTTCTGCAGTTTTCACCTGTGGTGACAATTTGCTTTCATTGGAATGTTCTAGAACAAAAAAGAAAAAATAAATATAAAGATGGATAGACATTGTCCAGGTATCTGGAGAAAGCTGTCATTGCAATAAGCACTTGGTGAAACACACACTATTATATTCTGTACCTTTTGAAATACTTATTTAAAAATTTATTGTCTGGGGTGTAGTTTTTTCCAGTTTTTTAAAATTATCTCAAATTAAGCTAATGATATAACATGGCCTTTTACTTAATATTTTGCCATAGTATAATTTGATAGTAAGCACTCGCTGCTTTGCATATTCTGTGTCAGATAAAACATGTGTTTCTTATGTTATATGATTGAGTATAATTTGAAGCCAAATATTTCTTTTTGATGAGTGAAAAAAAAAAAAGGATAAGAAAATAGAGCAGTTTACAATGATCACCATAAGAATATGACATACTTTTCCTTCATTTTGACTTATTCTTGAATAATACAAGGTGGTTTATGTTTGTTCTGTTCCTTGAAATCTCAGGTCTGGCCGTTCATCACCGACACTATCGGAGACATCTAACATGACAATGACCTCAGGCTACAGCGGTGAGACAGAAAACAGTAACCTTGTGGTGGGACAGAGGATGCCTTTGGAGGCTTCCAGTCATCAGCAGGTCAGACTCAAGTTTGATCTATTTATACAACTTTGATGTTCTGCACATACAAAATGAGAAATAGAATGAATTCAAGTCAAAGAAGTTTTATTTGGAGGTGTACCACCTCACAATTTTAAGACTTGATTCTTTGGTTAATTTCACAAGCATCTTTAGGTTACTGCAGAATAAGCTTTAAAGATAATACACTCAGATCCCTGTACTGTAATACCCTCAAATCTTTGTACTTAATTCTAATGGTCTGAAGAGAACAGTTTTCAGCAGTTTACTATATCCTCTATGATATGCACTAAGATTATGAACTTGAAAGTCTGTCCTCACAAAACTGCAGTTAATTACAGTATACATACATATATATATATATATATATATATATATATATATATATATATATATATATATATATATATATATTTATATTTATTTATGTACCTATCTTCAGATTTTAAAAGAAATTTTCTAATGTTTTCAGTTGCCTGTTCCACCGCAGGTTGTGCTTCGCACACCGTATGGTACCTTTTTCCGTGAGGAAGTCTCAGGCTTTTATGGCTTGATGGCTGACCAGCCTCGGCGTAGATGTAACACACTGGATCGTGACACACTGACTCGGCCTAGGCTACACACCATAGAGGAGGGCAATCGAAGACGCTACACTCTTGATAGGGACTATATCAACAAAATGGTGAACAGGTGAGTCTGCGAATTTGTTTTACGATTTTTATCAAAATCAGTGAAAGAACAAAAGTCATAAATTATTACCGTGGTGCATTTGCAGATTGATACTAGTGCTAGGCCATGACTTTTCAACTACTGGTTGAATTATAGTAGAAGATACTGGAGGCCAAAAATGTATGTTTATATTTTGACTTGTGTATTTTTCTGACATGAATTGCAATTGCTTGGAAAAGCAACTACTTCTCAAGTGTTGCTTTCTTATCTTAATGCATGTATATTTCAAATTTGGTGCACTGAATGAGATTACATTATTTATAGGTAGCAACAAGCTACAGGCTTTACTTTGTCACATTCAGCATATAATTGTTCTTCAAAACGTTGCACCAAAAAAGCTTCTTGGTTCCTTAGAAAGTAACTTGGTATTTATTTACACTAAAACTGTTATAAATAAAAAAAGAAACATTGCTTTTGTTTGTCTTATGTCCAGATTAAGTGATCGCCTTGAGACCCGGAATGCTGTCCGAGGAGACTCTGTTCCTCCTTCAATGTCCAATTCTGCGGCAAGCTCTCCAATCCAGGAGGAAGGAAACAGCATGTACAACGTCCCTCACTCGGCGGCGTTCACTCCCATCACAGTCCCAGAGGGCGCTGTTGGCCATGCGACAGCTTCGGTGGCTCACACCAGTTCCCTGGCTGCTCCTGAGACCGTGCTGGCAGCGGCAGCAACTGCAGCAAGAAGTGGCTCGTCTCCTACTTCGCCAAAGTCAAGGTGAGTGCCACTGGTTTGTTTATCATTGTTTTATGTTCTCAATTTTGTAATTGTTTGTTCCATATGTTGTATGTTCTAAATTCTGCTATGGTTTGTTCCTTTTGAGGATCAAAAAGAAGGACTTCTGTGATTGCCTACATTCAGGTAAAAAAAAAACCACCTAATGTTTGATATTTCTATGCTCATCTCTTTTGGATTAAATTCTTAATAAGTACTGTAATGTTTAAAAATATAAACATGTCCTTTCTTGTGAAAGGCCATCAGTGTTTTAAAAAATGTATTTATTTATTAGCGGTACATTTGTTTCCTAAGATGGCAGCTTCAGACTAATTTAGTGATCTCGTTTGTTTTAGTAGCTTCCATAATGATCTAATTTGTGTTTCCCGTTTCCCACAGGTCCCGGTCTGGCTCATTCACTCAAGAGGACTACATCAACATGCGGCCGCGTTGCTACAGTTTCCACTTGAACAGCGAGGGCAGAGCGGCCAGGATGTCCTTGCAGCACCGGATGCTGGCTGAGAGAGGAGATGAGCGTGACCAAATGTCTTCAGACAGTGGACAGTTCATGTCGCCTGAGATGCGCCGTGGCAGCGTGGGTGCTGCCTATGGTCTTCATAGCCGCAAGCAGTCTCTGTTGGTTGACCGGCCGCTGTCTTACATCAACCGGAGCGCGACAGAGATGGACAAACGGTCTGGAAATTTGCCAGGACATGGACTTCCTGTCATGAAGGTTAGTTGCAAATTTTCATTATCTTGTATGACACATTTGAAACTTCAGCAAGATATTTTCATGGGCCGTAAATACCAGTATTTAGAGTTTGTGCTTAGAAAACAGGCCAAGTTTCTAGCCAGGTAAAGGCTTGATTTTATCCAGTTACCTGAAATGCAGATCAATGGAAATTGCAGTCTGTTTATTTATATTTCACCCTTTCTGTTCGTACGTTTGTCATTTATTGTTCTTTGTTTTAAAAGTGTCATCTTTGTCAGAATTGACATAAATATAGGAAGATCATAATTACTATCAGGATAGTACTGGTATTGATTCTAAGTTTAAGAAAATTGTTGATGGAGCCCAAGTTTTTGATCTTGAATACTTTCTTGTTTGATACAATGCAGTTTGTTTAACATTTGAAGAGGGTGTTGGATTGAATGTAACTTGTATTATACTCATAGACCTTGCTTCAGAGTATTTCACCTTGCTCTGTCCCTAGCACATCATGCCTGATGGCTCCATCTATGGCATGCAACTGACCCCTGAGATGGCAGCCCAGCACCCAGCCCTGTGGCACCAGCAGGCTGCTTTGGCCATGGGGATGACCCCACCCATGTCTATGCCACTTTTGCAGCAGAGACCAAGAGATGAGCATACCCGACCCCTGGACTCAAGACCTCGGGAGAGAGAGGTGGCCAAAACTCACAACTGTGATGCTATGCGTGATGGGCTACAGAGAGACATAAGTCATAATCCAGGCTTTAGGAAGTATCCTACGGGGGCTGAGGAAAGTGGATTCAAGGCAGTGTCTGAATCAAAAGAAGGGCTTGTGTCTAAATCAACATCGAGGGCAACAACAGATACTCTGGAAGGCAGTGAGAGCAAGGAGAGGGCTGACAGAGGAAGCCTTCCTCTTAACCCTCCAACTCTTACCGTCCCCCCTAGTGGTCCCACTGAGTCACTTGACCAGCCCCTGGTCTCTGCCTCCCGACTGGCCGATTCTCCAGTCCCTGTTGCCATGAACACCATGACCTCAAGCAGCCCTGTGTCTACAGAGGCACTGGCCCCAGGTCCCAGCTCGAAGACCAACTCAGAACGAGGTTCACCTGTTCATGATGAGTCTGCTATGGAGAGTTTTGGGCACAAGAAGTTTGACAAGTTCCGGAAAGAAAAAGTGCCAGAAACATCAAACAGCAGTGGAGCTGAAGATACCGGGGTCTCTGTGAAGGAGGAGAAGATGGAGGAGGATGAGATGGCTGAGGATGGGATGGGTGACCATGATGGAGGTCAGGATTCAGAGGATGGTGATCTCAAAGTTGACATCTGTGATGTAAAAGAAGAGCAGAGGTCCCCGTTGGCTGATAGGGCGAGTCCGACTAGTTCCAACGGCTCAGTGCCATCACCCAGTGGAGGTGAACGGCCTAAACTGTCGGCCAAAGAGGCGCATCCAAACCTTTTAGCACATCTCATGAATGGAGGAAGTAAAAATGGGAGCAGCGTGAAAAAACTGGCCCCCCAGTCCATTGGTCAGTTGTCGGCTGGCACATCTCCGTCCACTGCTGCAACTATGGCCGCTGTGGGGCTCCCTCTGGGACTACCCTGGGCTATCAATGGACAAGGAGCATCCAGTGGGTGTCCATTCAAGTCTCAAGTGCAGCAGCAGCAGCAGCAGCAACAACAACAACAGCAGCATCCGATACTCAAGCATCATATGTTTGGCTCACAGCCATCATCAGCATCGTCATCACCTCCCTTGCCGTCTGCCTCTGCTCGACCCATGCACCCTCACCCCAGCGTGGGGTCACAGGGCCAGGTCATGACCCCTGACCTTGGGGGATCAAGTCACTCTAGTCATCATACAGTTTCCAGTCGTATGGCTGCAAGCAATAGCGAAGCAGTTGGTGCAGCTGACCAAAACTTTACAAACTCCAAAGAGGAATTCCATGCAGTCACCGTGTCTCACCTCAAAGACAAACTCTTGAGGAAATTTGACAGCATGGAGAACCTGCATAAGATCGCCAAAGAGTCTCCGGTTTCGGACCCAGGCTGCTGGTCTCCCCCTCATGCTTCTGCCTCTGCAACATCAACAGTGTTGGGCGCATCCAACAACACCACTGAACTGAATAAAGAGTTAGCCACCAAACTAACGCTGTCATCGTCAGTGGCAGGAGTGACAACAATGTCTGTTGTGTCACCTGGCATTTCATCCTCCATGCCATCATCCTCTGCCACATCATCATTGCGATGCTCAGAATCAACATCGGCATTCAGCAAAGGGCCAGTCCCTATTGTTTCTCCCTCATCCTCCTCTTCCGTGCTTCACAGCTCCAACCCTCCCCACTCCTCCCCCTCCTCCTCCTCCACTTCAACTGCTGGCCTACCTTCCCACTCCTTCGTGTCCCGTGGCCTCCCGCATCCCGCCATGTCCCACATGCTGCTCTCACAGAGCCTTCATACGTCGTCCCTCCCCATGTACCATTCCATGCTGACCAGCCAGCATGGAGCCCTACAAGGGGCGATGACCTTGAACCCCAACCAAGCCCCTGGCCCCACCCCAGGCTCAGGACTGCCCCCTCTAGCCAACATGCAGCACCTGGCTCAGATGTTTGCTCGTGCTCATGCTATCACTGGAGACAAGGCCGACAGGAGGTGAGTTCAGTGCTGTGTCTTTATATACAGTATTGTTGATTTGTATGCTTCTTTCACCATAAAGAAATAAACCTGAATGAAATTCTCATGGAGGAATGCCAAAAGTGACAATACCTGTAACGATTTAATTTAAGAACAAAGCATATTTATGATAAGTTCAATCAGCAGCAGGCCAAAGGTACTGTTGAGGTTCATCTGGAACCATCATATAGAAATCAGAAATACTAATTGACGTGATTTATGATACGCATATTGTTGTCTGCCTTTTAAAGTTCCAGAGAAAGAAAAAAAACAATTGAAATTCTGTTGTATTCTATAGTAATAAAAAAAATTGATGCTTCATCTTTTTTAAGTGCCCCAAACCAGAACTATCCTCAATGAGGTAAGATTAATGAGCTAAAAGCAGAGGGCATGAGTACTTCTAATTTGGTCAAAGTCAACAAGTTTGTCTGTGTTTGACTCATTTTACCTCAGCTTTATTGATGACTTCTATTATTGTGTCTCTTTTGAGTATAATGTGCCTGTTGTTTCTATTCATATTTAAAAAATGTTGGTATTGTTTTTGCCTTTCAGGATGGAAGTCGGAGCCCCACTTAATTTGACATCCCGAATGGAGGAGGGTTCATCATCACCTTCTCACACTTCCCAAGCATTGGCATAGACATGAGGTCGGGAGAAGCATGATGCTTATAATGGTTGTTGCAGTTGAAACAAACTCTGCTGCCAGTGAGAGATACACATGTCTGTCTGTGGACAGAATATATGGGAATGTGAAAAATCTTTTTGTGGTGTTTTGGAACTGTGGGAGAACCATGAGCAAGCAAAATGCATCTTGGGGTAATAATTGTATAGGCTAAGGACAAGTTGAGAGGGGAAGCATGCCTGGTTGTCCAGATATTTTGGATATAGAAAAATGTTCTATGTTTGACAAACAGGAGGAACAGAAGCTGAGAGATCTGCTCAGTTGACCCCTTTGTTTAGGGACAAAAAAGAAGTGCATCCATTGATATGCCTACTACATGAACTTGTTCTGTGGCATCCAAAAACTTATTTGAATCCTATTCCTTATAATTGAGGGATGTTCAGTTTCAAGCTGTGTTTTGAAGCAGAAACACTGACTTCATAAGTTATACCTTTTTGATTAAGTTTTTGGTTGATTTGTGTGATGGGTACTGATTTTGACTCATTTTGATGAGGAGGAGTGTATTGTGTAGAAGAATAATGTGAGCTGTCGTGTGTGTGTGTGTGAGAGAGAGAGAGAGAGAGAGAGAGAGAGAGAGAGAGAGACAGACTGACAGACAGACAGACAGACAGACAGACAGAGAGAGACTGAGATAGAGAGAGAAGAGAGAGACGGAGAGAAAATGGAGGAGGATTCAAAGGTCAAGTGACTGACCATTCAGCAAATTTTTATCAGGCCTTTAGCCTTTTTTCTGTACATATATTTATTTGTATGTTGCATATACGTTAATAAGATCCTGCATGATGTAGATGCAAAGTCTCTTTCTTGGTATGAGATAAATGTTGGAACTCGGAGCACTGATATGTTGTGTGTGTTTGTGTGTGCGTATGCCTTGTGGTCCTTTCCACGAGTGAGAACCCGATGGTGGTCAGGTGCCATGAAGCATCAAGGCAGCGCACACCCAAAAAATGAGGGTATCAATTTGTCACTAAGAAGTCCCAAACATACAATAATGTCATAGTCTGATTTTTCCATGGGATAAGTTACTAGAATATTAGGAATACAATTGGAGTAATTTGATAATGATCTCATTCATTGTAACTGTCTTTGTTTCTGAAAAGAATCAAATGGTAATTCCATGTTGTTTCAGGATCTGAATACCAACAGTATCTTGTATGTGACTTCATGCTCTGTATATTGCCGTTAGGTAGTCTTGCAACGCTTTCCACTTTCAAACTTCTTTTTTAGTTATCCAATATTGATTCAAATGATTTAAATTCGGAACTCTTGTACTTTTTATCAGTATCTATTGTTTTGTTGTGACTTCAATAAAGTATACCAATTGGAAATACCACAGACACGAAAGCTCAACACTTCAAGTCAACAGACACGACCTGTTTAGTTTCACTTGAAGAGAAAAAAAAGGCTTTCCTTTTCTTCCTCAAAGCCTGTTCATCTTCAAGCAAAGCAGCTACAGAGAACGTGAATGAAAGTAAATTGCATCTATTATCGAAACCTTTTGGATCGACAACCGTCCGTTCAGCAAGCTAAAAATCACTGTCCTTTTGTCACATGATATAATGTTGGAGCTTTCTTTAGCATTCTTGTTAGTACCTACTGTTTTACAATGCCCCTTGTTTCATCACTTTCAACCTTCGAAAATAATATATGTGCTCCTCTGCTAAGGTCGGCAGCAAAGACATCACGCCTGCTACATGACTTTTCAGTCTTCATGTTTTGCTTCTCTGTTGTGGGTTGACGACCAGAGAATATCTAATCATCGTTTCTTTTTTCCTTCTCTGCTAAGGTTGGCAGCAAATCAATTCAGATCTGTGCTGTTGTTGTTTTCTGGTGATATTAAAGGGTGCTTTTTGTTGAGAGCACAAAGTTTTAGTCTTATGCGTGGGACGATTATTGATCTTTTCCTTTTGGGTCAAAGGGAAGAGAAATTTGGTTCCTATTGACTGTTAAGAAAATTATTTATTTTCAAGTCTACCGTTTTTTCATATGTCATTTTAATTTTCTTGCGTAAAATTAGGTAATACTTTTATAATGTTCTACTTGAGTAGGCTTACCAGTATAGTTCTTATGGCATCTTTATTGCTGTTTTAATCAACTGTACGACTTGCAGCTGCCCAAATGAAGCCCCTTTCAGTGTGGGGGGGATGACAACCTAAAAAGGGTTATGTTATTGAGGCAGGTACGGATGGTTTGCTTGGAACAAAAGAAAAAAACAATAAAGCGTTACACTATGGCATGAAGTATGTGTATTGAAATAAATTATGATTTGCTTTGTTTTATACTGTAATGGATGCTATGAATGTTTATGTGGATGTTATTATAAATCAAATGTCTGCAATGATAATGTAAAAGCTGTCTAAATGAATATTCTTTCAGTTTGAATATTCCTTTTGACATGTTTTTACAGCTTTATTCTCAAAAAGCTGCCCCTCTTTTTGATATATTGCAGATCATTTTTGCATCTGTATGTGTGCGTTTATGTTTAGATCATAAAGAAAGAGAGAAGTGAGCCGAGATACTGTGTTGTAGATGAAAAAAGAAGTGTGTCTGGAGAGTAATCAGTAAATGGGGATGTGGGAATATATAAATGAAAACATTGCAGTGTTTGTATATATATATGTTGTAATGCTAATTAACTTACAAGAGATGATTTGTTTCTATGTGCACCTTTTGTTCTTGTGCAATGGTGACATATGTGCACATCGTGATGAAGAATGAGTGTTCGAAATGACCTTGTAAATTATGAATGTAATATATTTCTCTTAACATGCATGTGTATTTGTCTGTACATGTGTGTGTGTGTGTGTGTGTGTGTGTGTGTGTAAGGGAGAGAGAGAGAGGGAGGGGGGGAAGGGAGAGAGAGAAGCAGGTTTAGTGTGAAAGAGAGAATGATGTACAAATCTATATGAAAAAATTGTTGAGTTATGCACAGAAAAACAGAATATTTTGGTATTTCCTGCAAGAGTTTGTTGGTGAAGAGCTGGCTGGCCTCCTGTAATGTATTCTTAGAGTGAAAGTGAATCAGACAGAGATCAATATGTAACAAACTGTTACAGATGTATGTACTTTATGGATGCCATGACCAAAAGATTATCACTGGAATGAACTGATTCCACATCATGTTGGGTGTTTTTTTTTTAGTTTAGATATTATGTAAATGTTCTTCATTTCTTTCTCTCCTTTCCCAGAGAGTTTTTTTTTCTACTTCCTTGCTATTTCTCTGATTGTTTTCCCCCCTGTTTCTCTCCGTTCCCCCTGCCCCACCCTGCCACCCAAATGTGTCAAAAGATGCACATTTGTATTCTAAACCAACTCACACTTTCATTCCAGTTGTTGTTATTAATATTACTATTAATAATGTTGTTGTAGTTATTATTACTATTATCATTATTATTATATTTTTTAGGCCTATTATTATCATTGTTATCAATGTAATTAAAGTTCAATTCAGTTAAAGGAAATGGTTGGGTGAATGACATATTTTGGAAAAGACAGGATATTTATATTTATTATTTATTAGTGTCAAGGCCAGTCATAACTGTTTTTGAATTACACGTTTGGAAGAGAACTCGGACATCATTATTATTATTATTGTTGTCATTATTATTTTCATTACTGTCGCAGTGTATCTTTATCATTTTTGTTTCTGAGTCAGGTTATCAGTGGGGAATTTGTTTCACCCAGTTCATCCCTCCTCTCCTTTCTTCCCTTCCTTCCTTCCTTCCTTCCTTCTTTTGCACCGTTCTCCCTCCAACTCCAACACCCCTACCCCCCTTCCTTCCTTCCTTCCTTCCTTCCTCCCCCCCCCCCCGGTCTCTCCCACCTATTTTTCATCTCAAGTGATGATAAACTTGTCTGGTCGTTCAAATGGGCTGTTGCTACAGGCTCAGTGTGTGTACACATCCCCCGCATGCTCTGGTCACTTGTATGTCCGTCAGTCTGAATTGGGTCCTATACTCATTCTTGCATGATCTACTACACTGATGACATGCAATATGGAGGCTGACCTTATTGTGTTGCAAGTACCATAAAACTTTTAATTTTAAAAAAAGAAAATAAGGAGGCTACTATTTCAGATTTTGAAGAACAAAAAGTCCCTTTGTTTCTACAAATTTAGAGTTTTTAGCATTTTGGTCATTTGAAGTAATGAAAAACCATTTTTCATATCCTGAAGTTAGCATTTCTTGTTTAAAGTGGGGAAAATTTGAGGGTCTTAACCAAGTCAAATAATTTAGTGTCTTCAGAAAATGTGTTTCTCTTCTCAAAACGATTAAATGTACAGATAATGAAAAACTTGACAGCACCCCCCCATTCGGCCTCATTTCTAAAATTCATCAAACTAAATAATGCTGGCATTTATTTTTAGCGGTATAAGTATATAGAAAAGAGCCCATAACAGTTTGAAATGTAAAATGGACACGAATAATGATTTGAAATAAAATAAACCTGCAGTCACACGTTCGTATTTTTTGGAACCATCTTTTTACTAATAAATAATTCAGCCGTTGAACGGACATGGGAGTGACCAGTGAGTGACCCATTCCCAGGACAACACAGCGCCTGTAACCCCTGCCCACTACCTTGTGTTTTGCACAGTGCATAATGTGACGTTTTCAATTAAAGTTCAGGTCTGCGGAAACCAAATGGCTTTTCTTGCTTTTGTTTTCTGTTGTTTTGGCTTTCTTTTGATAATATTCATGGGTGGTTGGCGGGTACTCTGGTATGATAATTTGCTCATTCGGGATCTATTTTGTCAAACAAATCAAACATTATATCATCTTTATCTCTCCTCTTTCTTTTTTGTATTTGTTACTCTCTTGTAACACCTCTAATCATCGGCAATTGTTTGACCTAATTGTGTTGCAAGTGCCGTAAAGCGCTTACTAGAGCAAAAATCGGTAATATTCTCTGAACCATGTCTCGACCAGAAATTCCTAGAGCAGCTCTTGCGGCAAGAAAAACACATGAAAACCTTTTTCTGTGGGCAATACTTTCCTTTACATAGATCACTCGGCATGAGATGAGATGGTCGAGAAGTGGCTATCTAAGTTATCGCCCTCCACCGATGGTATCTAACTGAGGGGAATGGTGGGCGTTGAAATTCCTCAAACGATGCGAGTTCAAGTTCAAGATCGCTTCATGAAAACAAAAACTGACAACCTATTGCTATGATTTCAGAGTTAAAAACGTTTTGCTTTCCTGACTCTCGAACCACAAGTTCTATCGGAGGTGAGCGTGAAATTCGAAAGTTTAGCCCTCTAAATAATAACAATAATAAAAGATAATCGATAGCATTTGTATAGCGCAAATCCCCGCTCAACAGCAATGTCTATGCGCTTCCCTATCTTACCATCTTAAAAGGGACATAAAATCCTGTTTCATAGCACAACCTTACGTCGACCGTGTCAACATTTCGGCATCAATGAAAGGCCGACCTGCATCTGTGCTGTACAGTAGCGGTTAGGTGCTTCGCTGTCGCACGTCCAGAGACCCGGGTTCGATTCCAGAGTGGGGAGAACATGACTGTTTATCATCTGGGTCTTTCTGCTGAGATGTTGCATGTATCCGTCTCAAATCGGGTTAGCCCTGGCAGGCAGGGTCGGAACCTAGATAATCTAAATAGTGTCGAAGGTGGAGTAAAAATCGCCCACATTTAATTTTGATTTTGAAAAGAGAGCTGGTAAGAAGACAAAGTTGCCAACAGTAAAGAGATATGGTCATGACGTCTGGGAGGGGCTTGTGGGGGGGGGGGAGTGGCCCGTGAGTACTGTACTGCTTATGATAATGAATGTTTACCATCGATACAATTAAGACAATTTGGGAGGCAGAATGCTTCGATTCTGCATGTCAAGGCCAACTTGGAATGAGTGGGATACAACACGCTACACACTGACGATGATACTCGATTTAATTTTTTTTAAAGTATTTTCCCTATCGGGATTCGAATTCACGCCTTAAGCATGCAATGGCGATGAAATGGTACAGGTTTAACGCCCCTATCAACACTGTTAGGTTATTTTAGTAGAGGCGGGACCTCCGAGTTTAACGTCCATCTCCGAAAGGGCCGAGCCAAGAGGGAAATTCGTGTAAAGTGCCTTTCCCAAGGACACAACGTCGGACCGAGCTGAGGTTCGAACCTCCGAACCCGCAGTCTCACGCCGGTAGCCTATGCACTAGGCCACCGACGCCATGGCGGTGAGCCCAGCCACATTTTTTAACCCTATCCGTACGCCCTGGGGTCATTTTCCCCCATGTTGTATGGATACGATTGTAAAATACGACGTCGGATAGGGTTAAAATGTAGGTGTTTTGACCAAAACCTATACCAGAAGAAACATAATAATCAAATTGCTACTACAGTGGAAAAAACCCATACACTTGTTATACGTAGGACACATGCAATTCTTGGCCATTGGCAAGAGGTTATTTAAAACGATTGGTCGTTGGCCAGATCTGCTGAACGTACATCTATGAACAGATCAGTGCGAACTTGAATTGGTACACGAAAGCTTTTATTTTTAAAAGTTCAAATCCTATTAGGCTCGCAACTATTTTCCTCGTCTGTCCTGAGTTTATATCGAGAGGAATCAAAAATCATCCTCATCATCAATGCCTTTTACCCCTGGCAGGGTATAGGCCACATACAAGCTCCTTCCATTTATCTTTGTCCTGGGCCATCCTTCCAAGCTCGTTCCAAGTGACATTCATCTCTCTCATGTCCCTTTCCACGCATCTCCTCCCTGGTCCCCGGGGCCTACCCCTGCCTCGTGCTCCTTGTCGGTTCCACAGCTGTGACTGTCTTGTAAGAGACAAAAATAATGTTCCACTATTGAAATGACGTACGCAGTGCCTTGCGGGGGGTTCAACTCAAGGCAAAACAATAATGAGTGCGCGTGTATGTGTGTGTGTGTGTGTGTTTGTGTGTGTGTGATGTGTTTGTGTGTAATATGTATGTGTATATATGTGAGACATATATATATATATATTTTAAAAATTTTATACAGCCTCGCGCGCGCGTGTACACACACACACACACACACACAAACACACACACACGCACGCACGCACGCACACACACATACGCACGCACGCGCGCGCGCGCACACACACACACACACACACACACACACACATATCCATGTTCTGTTCCGTATGCACCCACATATACCTCAAGCATTTACGCTCTGTTCTATTGATGCTTATTATACCGACTATTGGATTGTCTTTGCTGCTATGCCTGTCGATGTTCCAAATTTAGAATAACAAAATTTGTGGGACTAAATTTGGTGAACAATTTCGGACTTTTTGTTTCGATTTTCATAATTACACATGTATATTCTCCGTGAACACAAAGAGACAGCTTATCACCTCAATATTCATACCAACATTATGTTATCAGTGCCAGACCTGGACCTTAAGCAAA